ATTTAACAAATTTTGTGATGAATCATTTAATAAAGTAAACTACTTAAAGAACTTTTCATAACGAAAAACTACTAAACGAATTCCTCTAGACTTCTCATAACGTAAAACTATTTAACGAATTCCTCTAAACATATAACTAACTATATACTAATTAATTAGATACGAAACTCTTTATAATAAAAAATATAATAAGGGATAACTCTCCATTTTTCTCAAATCCCTCCTTAGTTGACTCAAAATTCAAACCTAAAATCTTCTATTTAAAATCTTAGACTCTTAGCTAGTTGAGCTATCCTTGAGGGGCCTTATCAAACTTTTCTTAACAAAGAATTGCTTACTCTAATTGTATAATGAATAACTTACTTTTCTTTGCATTATCGTATACTACTAACTAGAAAATTTTCTACTTTCTATTATTCTTCTTCTCACATTTTAACCATTTTTGTTGGAAATAAACCTTATGACTTCTACTAAAAACACAATGCTTCTTAAATCAAATTCAAACTTTACTAATTTAAACATATTCAAATGAAACGTGAAGCATTTCTTTTCTCTCCTACTTCTCTCTAATGAAAAAAAAAAAAGAAAAAAAAAAAGACAAAACAAAACGAGAGTCCCTGATGAGGAATGACAAAAATTAACCAGCAAGAAACAAAGCCAAGTGCATCCAGACATTATTCTATATTGTTGTTGTGTATGTATTCTTGACTCTTCCATCCCATCTCAACTGTGATAGAGAAAAAGATGCTCTAATGCTATGAATATCAAAGGAATCAAAAGAGTATTCATAGACCCATCGTAAATTAGTTGCAAAGATTCTCAAAGGGGGAAAATGCATAAACCCTCATCCCATGCCCTACCCCATTTGCCACTTTGGACTAAGAGTTAGCTTCGATACCAAAACTTAAAAAAAGAAGAAGAAGGAGAAGAAGAAGGTCAGAAAATTGCATTCTTTCCATAAAAAATCTATCTTTATAGATATGAAATTAACCACAAATCAAAACAAAATAAGCACTCATATTCATAGCCGCTGAAAGCTTGGAAGTTGAAATGAACCAAGGAAAGGGCAAAAAATCAAAACTAGTAATCTTAAACTATAACTGAAACTTTAAAGGTAAATGCTTTGTGACGAAAAGTCTGGGTTCTTGCTCAAGAAGTTCTCAATGAAGCAGCCGTTTCTGTTTCCAAAAAAGCCTCTCTTTCTAAGCTCAGATTAGAAGAACACCAATACATAATCTCACTTAGCTCTCTCCCTCTCTCCTTTGGGTTTCAAACAAAATAAATTTCAATTTCTCTTTCGGACAACAAAATGACTAAACAAATCACAACCTTTCCCCCTCTCTGTGACTCAATCCTTAGATATATATGTATTCTTCTGATATGATAGTAGTAGACAAAGTAAGAGGAAATCCTGAAATTCCAATTTTGTCCTTCATTTTCTATGGAGTTATTTCAGCTCTTCTTTTTTAACTGTTGTTCATTTTGAGGATTAAATGTCCCTTTTCATGTGGCACCATCGATGGATTTCTTCTGCAAGTATTCTTACTATGCCATTGTTTCCTATTAATTTTATAAAAATCTTCCTGCACAATTTCCATCAAAGAAAAATGAAAAATTACTACTACATTGGCACAAGAAGTGGGTGATCCTTTCCTTTAAACTTACAACATGACATTATATAATTGGTGTAAATATCGCATTACCGCTCAAAAAATTCCACTTGGTTCAATAAAATAAATAAATAAATAAAAACAATTGCTTAGGTTGGTTCTTAAATTAGAATAAATCAATGTGCACTTTGTTTCTCCTTTATAACAATGCTCATTTTTCTTTTGATAGAGAAGTACATGTGTTATATTGTTAAGGAAATTTGCACATAATCTTATTTTAGAATGATAAGCTTGATGAAAAATCCAAATCCAGATAGAAAACATCAAGTCCTTGAAACACAGCTAGGATTGCAGTCTATAGGTTGTAACTTGTAAGAATCCTGCAATAGAGAATCCACCTCCAGTACCATGCAGGATGATAAAACCAATAGCTAGTGCCTGCAATTGTTCCTATGGTTACTTGATAGTTCCATATTACTGATACATAGACATACAAAGAAGCATGGGATCTGATTGTTCTTCATTTGGATTCGAACTTCCTATCTCCTTAGGTAACTGTAGAGTTCGTCTATGACCCAGTCGCATTGTGCTGCATTAAATCGGGGCACTGTTATTCATATGAAATAGAAAGCCAATTTCATTTACCACTAGTATTGGAAAACACATCCCACGATCGTTTTCTGCCAATTTTACAGTGAAATTATTTTAAGGGTTCATATGTGAAGCAAGTATAGAAGTTCAGAATTTACAAAGAAAATAACAATATTAACATAGGGAAACAATTACCTCAGTATAAAAAGTTTGTCCATTCTTTCAGGACCTTGATTCTCCTTCCCCACTTTTATATTGGCCTTCTTCCTCAATGTCTTGTTTAAACCTTGAACTTCTTCATCCACTGGATTAAGAATCTAATAGATGATGTTCTGGAAAGAGATAAAAGAAAAATAATGTAAAGATAGATCTAAGATTTCTTGTTTCTTATCAAGACAGAAAACACATATTAGTACCATGGTCTCATTCAAGAGGGGCCATGCCGCATCACATGCTATGAATCTGCAATGTGGTTGTAAATAAAGGAAGTAAGGTAAACAATGAAGTCGGTAAATATCTAAACGATTGGACACCTAGAAAAAAATGTTTAATTACAGATATGTTTGGTAAAATTGGATTTCTATGGAGCACAATTGATCATCAGAATATATTAAGAGAGTCTTTGTAGAAATTCAAAGTATACCATAGGAAGTAAGGGCTTGTTGATCTGGTAAATCACTAATCCAATGACAAAAAGAAGTGTTGCCACTTTGACAACCTTCTTCTCTTCTTCTTTATCACCATCTTCTTCATAGCCTCCTCTAATAATCTTGTTCATTGGGACTTAGCTAAAGGTAGTGCTTATTATATTCCAGGATTCAAAAGCCATATCCTATTGAGAGGCACGGCAAAGTGGAGTATATATCACCGTATTTATACAAGAAAATGTAATCAATAGGCGAAATTTGATTGGAGATGGAAGTTAATTGCAAGGGTAATGATATGGAGACAATTTTGTTTCTACAAAACTTTTATATATAACTTCCACATATCATTAAATAGTAGATGCATACAATATTATATGTTTTAGTTGAGTGAAAAGAGTTAATTATTAAATAATATATAAAATTGTACAAAAAAATTGTATGTGAATCATTTTTCTAATTATAATACGATGAAGATTAGTAAAATTACAAAAGAAGGAATGAAAGGAGAGGAACCTCAAATATATTATTCTACTTCGTGATTAGCATTTTTAAAATGATTCATATACACTTTTTTAATGAAATATTACAATTTGAGGTGACATTATTCAATTGTTTTTATTTGATTGAACACATTACTCATACTATCACCATGAAGGTTACTTTAGGATATTTGAAATGGCAGCAAAGAGAGATGTAAAAACAGACAATTTTATCTCATGTTTCTATGATAATTTGTTCCCTTGTGTTTATATTTGAGCCGTTTTTTAGTTTTGGGCATTTTTCATGCTTTAATTTGATTGGTAAAAGACAAAAGAGAATGTAACATATAGGTTTTAAGTAAAACGGATAGAAAAGTTTGCCTCCATTTGTAAGTACGTTATTGGACTCAAATTTAAATTGAAAACCAAAAATTTTAAAGGTAAAAAAAAAATTCCATGTATGGCACCAATGAGCTTAAACATTCTTGAATAGAGGAAATAAGGATGGCTGAAAAATCTATGTGGAAAACAAATCCTAATTTCATAAATGGCAAGTAAAACATGGTAAATTTTTCCTTTGTCATAAAAGGAAAACTTTTATTTAGCAATTTAATGCTTTTGGAATGTAAACCTCTCAAATTACCCAATTTTGGTAATGAATTGACCACAAATCCATTGGTTGGATTTTTTGTCAAATAGGTTTCACCTTAATAGAAAAGAATCTCCATTTGGAATGTAAATCTCTCAAATTACCCAATTTTGGTAATGAATTGACCACAAATCCATTGTTTGGATTTTTTGCCAAATAGGTTTCACCGTAATAGAAAATGATCTCCATTTTGCTTTCATTTTTGGTAACTCTATTTAAAAGGGCAATCTATTCAGCTATTGCTTAAACATAATGGGTACATACAGTGTACTCATAGATTATGGTATGTGGAAATCACTATTCTTAGTAAATATTCAACAATTGCCTGTAACCAGTTTTTTTTTTTTTTTTTTGCCATAACCATTTTGGTTATTGCAAAAGGACATTGATATCTAAAACTTTTTCTGGAAAATTATAAATTTATATAATTTTTTTTAAATATATTTGAGGTTGCTTGTCAACTTATGTTAATTTTAGAACAAAAATGATCAATCATAGTCACATTTTCTAAAATGTCCTAGTTGACCAATACATATTATCTCTAACAATAGAACCATCTAACAAATTTTGCCATGAATCATCTAATAACGTAAACTACTTAATGATTTTTGTATAATGAAAAACTACTTAATGAATT